TCCTTGGCTTCCATGGGCTCCAATCAGAAGAACTGTGAATGAATGCAATATTGAATGGAATTAGGGAAGCCAGATACATCCAAGAGACCATTTCAGTCACTTATGTCCCATAGGCGGGGGCCCATATTGAACATTTTTCTTCCCAGAACCAATAAATGGATAGAGAGATGGGGAGTACATTACTATCTGAAAGTTGCTAAGGGGTTTTAGTTAGGGTCCACTGATCTTAGTTGGGGTTGAATGAGAAAATGAGCAAAGATTATAGTCCTGACATTCAGTGTTTAAAATTTTGTATCTGGCAAACGTAAGTGATCACATGGGAGATTAGACTAGCACACTCCCAAGTAAAAATATTTTTGTATCAATTTACAGTTTGAGGAAGGACCTGGGAAACACAGTGTAAAGACATCTGGGCTAGAAGCCAAAGAAATATAGATGAAAGGATATGCCTTGCAAGATTGCAGAAGACAGAGGCTGAATTAGTCCCCAAGTCCTAACTTGGCACCTATTTTTGTGGTCAGTTCTGAAATGAGCTCTCTGAGACTGGAAACAGGTATCCCAGTGAGTTGGGAGGACCAACAACATGGGCATCCTTAGAGGGTCAGGGTCAGTTAGGCTGGGCACTTGGGTGATGCTTGCATCCTCCTCCAAAGCAGCCCTGGGAGATGGTGAAGCCTGAGCTTGAGGTTCTGTGTTTGCTAACTCTTGAGCATTCCTTTCCTCTGTGGGCAAGTTTATCTATTAGAAAGTTCTCTCATATTTTGTAAACTTTCACGTTTTTCTATCTTGTTAGTTTTTTTATACTCACGTGATCTCCCCAGAAGGCCCACTTTTTGGTTTCCCCTCCCCTGCCCTTCCTAAGTCATCTCCCGGTTAACCAGCCATAGTTTTTATAGCACTTCTTGGATAGAGAGGTGAAAAGTGATTTTTTTTAAGTTTATTTATTTTGATAGAGCCTGCACATGAGTGTGGGGGGGGGGAGAGAGAGAGAGAGAGAGAGTCCAAAGCAAGTTCCACACCATCAGCACAGAGCCTGATGTGGGGCTCGAACTCATGAACGATGAAGTCATGACCTGAGCTGAAATCAAGAGTTGGACACTTAACCAACTGAGCTACCCAGGCACCCCCAAAATTGGTCTTGAATCACATCACCATCTGTATTAATTTCCTGTGGCTGCTATAAAAAATTGCTGCAAATTAGGGGGCCAAAAACCCAGAAATTAGTTCTCTAACAGTTCTGGAGGCTAGAGTCCAAGATCAAAGTGGTAACAGGGTAGCACTCCTTCTAGTGCACTGAGAAAGAATTCCTTCTATGCATATTACATCTTCTAGGGGCTCCAGGTGTTCCCTGGCATGTGGCCACATAACTCCAGTCTTTGCCCTTTCTTCACGTGGCCTCCTCCTCTCTGCATGTTTCTCTTACAAGGATGCATGTCATGGCACTTAGGGCCCACCTTGATAATCTGGGATGTTTTCATCTCAAGATCTTTAATTTGCTTATGTCTGCAAAGGTCCAGATAAGGTCACATTCACAGGTTACAGGGACTAGAACATGCTCATGTCCCATGGGGGAGTCACTATTCAATACAGTATGCCATCTTATGTAGTGTCTATTTCAATGGTCCTTAAGGTTTAGGAACTGTGAATCACTTCAAAAATATGATAAAATATATGTAATTTCTCCATAATAAATACACATGTTCCAGTAAATGCTTATTTTTATTTAAAATTTCTGGAGATTCAAACTTTACTATGACCACCAAAACCCATACATGTACTCTAGTTTGAGACACTTAGTGTATATCTTTGAATGGTGACATCCAAAATTGGCTGCCTTTTTCTTTGTGATCTAGTTAATGTAGAATAGGCCTGGATATTGCCTCTTTCATTCTTGATAATATATAGAATTCTTAATTAATGTGTTGTAAGATCATCTCAAGTACTTTTGGTTTCTCTGAAGTATTTACTTACATTAATCACATTGTGTATGAAAACTCTTAAGATGCCACATTATTATTATTTTTTTATTATTATTGTTATTATTATTATTATTTAACCTGAACTGCATCAAGCATCATTTTCTTTATTCAATACTTATGTAGTTGCCAGGGAAGGACCTGACATATCTTTCTGTTACTTCACATTATTAGATTCAGCCTTACCCTTCAGTCTGTCAAGACCTTTTTGGGTCCTGATTCTGCCATCAAGCATATTGACTGTTTCTTCCAGCTTTGTGTCATCAGAAAATGTGATTTCCAATGATAACCATTATTTTCATGTCTTCAAGTCATTAATAAAAATGATGAACAAGAAAGAGCAGACAGCAGAACCTTGCAGCTGACTACTCATGCCCTCCCCCCTCTTCGATTTTAATGCCTTAATTAGGTACTGTTCAGTCACATAATTTTACTGTCAGATGCCTTGCTGATACCCAGGTAAATTGTGTGCCTCATATTTCCCTCTTCTGTCTGTCCAGTAATCCTTCCATGGAAAGGAATGGCATTAATCAGACATGATGTATTTTATGATCCATGAAATAACTGTAAACTATTTGGAGTAGGTGGAAGTGTTTGGTTTAGCATCACTATTATTCTTCTACTCAGAGTATTCCAATTAGGGAAGACTAGAGGAGGTGATATTTGAATATGAAAAGATTTAGAAAGGTTGGATAGAGACAGAAGAAGACATTCATCAAGGTCTTCTCCCAGTGGTTTTTGTTTGTTTGTTTCTCCTGACAGTCTTTCAGTTTAACTCTTCTCTCTTCAAATAAGTAGAAACTTTTAAGACATAACTGCTTTGGGGGCGCCTGGGTGGCGCAGTTGGTTAAGCGTCCGACTTCAGCCAGGTCACGATCTCGCGGTCCGTGAGTTCGAGCCCCGCATCAGGCTCTGGGCTGATGGCTCAGAGCCTGGAGCCTGTTTCCGATTCTGTGTCTCCCTCTCTCTCTGCCCCTCCCCTGTTCATGCTCTGTCTCTCTCTGTCCCAAAAATAAATAAATAAACGTTGAAAAAAAAAAAAGACATAACTGCTTTGTTAGAGATTTTAAATGGACTGACTAGTGAACTCTCCATGAAATGAATCAGGATTAGAAGGAGAAAGTACCTCAATGGTGACCTGGCATGGACGTATGGGATTTGGAGACCAATGAATACAGCAAAAATGCAAGAGATCAGAGTAAGCCTAGGGGAGGGATGCTTACATTCACTCTGCTCCACACGGTATTGACCACACAACCCAAGATATTCTAGCCCCATGGCTTCTGCTACTCAGTGGTGAGCTAAGATTCTTATAAAGATCATACGTTTTTAGTTTTGTTCTTTTAGTATAGTTGGCACACAATGGTACACTAGTGTCAGGTGTACAATATAGTGATTCAGCATCTCCATACGTTATGCTACACTCACTACAAGTGCAACTACCACCTGTAACCATACAAAATGATTACAGTATCATCAACTGTATTTCCTATGCAGTGCCTGTTATCCCTATGACTTATTCACCTCAAAGTCTGTTTTTTTAATTTTATATGTTTTTATTTATTTATTTATTTGTTTTGAGAGGGAGGGAAGGGGGAAGAGAGAGAGAGTGAGAATGAGTCGGGGAGGGGTAGACAGAGAGGGGGAGAGAGAGAATCCCAAGCAGGCTCCTTACTGTCAGTGTAGAGTCTGACACTGGGCTTTAATTCACAAATCACGAGATCACGACCGGAGCCAAAATCAAGAATCGGCCACTTAACCAACTGAGCCACCCAGGCACCCCAAAGTCTGTTTGATCTTTTAGAAAAGACTATAAAAAGTTGTATTTAACTTTTAAATTGATAGAACATTAAAAGGCATTTCTCAAGGTGTAATATATAAGTTGTACGATCTACTAAACAGTCCTATTTCTTCATCCATTTCACAATTTTAGTCAACTTCCACCCCTCGCAAAGCATCTTCATCCTTCAGAAAGAAGAAGGGACTGTCCCTTGAGGAGTAGTCTCTTAGGTGTCACCACAAGAACATATGACTGGAAGGAGATGAGAATCCGGGGCTGATAAAATGATTAAGTCTTGCTGAAATGTAATCCATCCAATGCCTTGAAAGACTTCAGTTGGTTTAGGTTCCCAGAGTGATTGGTCTCCTCTTTATAGCACTATGATAGATATCTTGCATTGTAATTATAAGACATGCCACCCAAGTAGAGTATGGGTGATCAGTCTTTTTTTCCATTTTTCTAGAAACCATTGGTCATTCATATGTATAGGGCCATCAACTACTGGGCTTTGAAAAGGTCAGTATTGATTATCTAAGTCACATAGATGGTGTGTTTCTTTACTATACATAAATATGAGTTCCTTTTATGGGGCTACTGTGATTTTTCAGGGAAAGGAAAGGAGGGTGTTATTCATGTGAATTAAACAATAGGAATTTCAACTAAAGCACACTTAGATTCTGTCAGAATTTTGGAACTGGCAGCCACACTTCAGATTAGCTAATTTGCCCCCATTCCCACCATACACATACACATTTACTTTACAGATGAGGAAACTGAGTCCCTGTCAGTAGACATCAGTAGATAAAATACCTGTGCTTGCATTAAGGAGAAACAAGAAGGCTACATGTCAAAATATCAACAACAGTTCTACCTGTTGAGTGTAAGATTTTGAACTATTGGGTGATTTTTTTCTTTCTTCATATCTTTCTGTGTAAGGTTTTGAACTATTGGGTGATGTTTTTCTTCATATCTTTCTGTGTTCTCATTGCTTACTATAAAGTACATATATTACTTTTGCAATTAAAAAATGGTTAGTTTTAAACCCACTATGAATACCATGCCAGTTGGCTAGAGTTGTGTAAATGGTGGACTTTCTCCTTGGTGACCTTCCAAGACCTCAATTTGGAAGAACCTGTTGAGTCCAGGCTGCAATTTAGTCCTCTCTCCCTCCAGTCTTTGTGTATTAGTGACTGACTAGTGGGACCTCTCTGTTTGTCTCTCCCCTGCCTCCCCTAAACACTTAGAGTTTTCGGCCACTTCAGCCTCCGTTCTGAATGGCAGTTGGTGAAAGTGGACTACAAATCTATCTTCAGCCGACGCTGCACCAAGGAAGACTATCAGACCTGGCACCTGCTCAATCAGGTATACCATGTGGTAGGGGCATACTGGCTTCTAGGAAAAGGAACTACCACAAGGGCTATTTGGTCATCTCTGGGCCTTCCTATTTGGAGGAAGAAGGTAGTGGGGCATCTGAAGATAGTGATGGATTTGGGGGAAGGGTTGGAGTCCACACACACAGGTCAAGCATGCAAAGATGGTATTTAAGGACCATTTTTCACCCTGTGATCCTGATCAACCCATTGAGATGATTGAATAGTCGAGGGGTGAGGGAGGCAAGTATTACCTCGGGCCTTTGCTCTATCTGTGGAGAAATAAACCCAGACAGCCAGGAGGACTTTCAGTGGTTTCATCATCTCACCTGTTAGTGGGGAGGGTGAGAATATTTGTCAGGCCAGCCTGCAGTGAGATCCCCAAGAGCCCTGGAAACAGGGCCACAGATAAAGGGTGAGGGATTGGGGTGAGTGCCTCTAGATATTTGTTGCTTTGCAGCATAGGTAAGACTTCTGCATTCTTCAGAACCATTGCAATCATGTGATTTATACCAGTTTCTCCGCTTTTCTTTGCCCTTGACTGGAAATAAGGACTTGGGCATGATTATTTATCATAGAGAGAGAACTTTTCAGGCCAACTTCAGTTTTACTCTGAAGATGATATGAAAAATATGCCAGAATTTGATTCTTTTCCACCACAATTTCTGTTGAAGTCATTTGGGCAATTTGTAAGTCTGTGACAATGACTTGGAATTTTTGCCTTCTCTCCAGAGGTGAAAGAGAAACAAGATGAAATAGACATCATTGGCTAAGTTGGGTGGGAGGTAGTGATGAGCCAGCACCTCCTCCATGGTGTTCCTCTTGTGTCGTAGTAAAAGACTGGCCCTTTTTCCCTTGAGACTCCTGAATGGTTACTAGGGATGAGATTGGTAGACAGAGTGACCAAAAGAGAATGGAAAGACCAGTGCTTCCTATAGAGAAGCTGGTTTATTTCACCTTCTTTGTGTTTTTCTTCCTTTCTCACCATGGACTTTCTTTCTAAGGGGGAGCCTTGCGTCATGGGAGAAAGAAAAATATTCAAGAAACGCAAGCCAGGAGCTCAGTGTGCCCTGGGTCGAGATTCCTCAGGGACAGTGGTTTCAGAGCCCTGTGTCTGTGCTGACTGGGACTTTGAATGGTGAGTCCCATGGCATCTCATTGTCAGTTTCAACCAGACATTTACTTGTTGGGGGGTGAGGATGAAGATCGAGCTGGGGAAAGGGGAGTCATGACCCACAGGTGGGAGGTGTGTTTGCTGGCCTATGGGCCTGTTTCAGTTCCTGGGCCCGAGGGTAACTCTGTACCCCTGGAAGGAGGACAGGAGGAGATATTTTCACAGGGGAGGTCACTGTTCTGTCAGAGCAATATGTCTGAGGAAACTTGTCATCTTCAGTTAGCATCCCTGGGCAAGTACCGGAGAGGTTGGTCTGAGCAGTGACAAAGCTCAGAGAGCTACCACCTTGGACAGCTACCTCCAGATACATTACCTCAAACTGTGATTTTCCATGTGTACTCTCTCCTTTCATCATTTTTTTTCTCCCTCTAATGACAACCACAAAGAACAACTTTAAGTCTCACCTATTAGCCAATAATTCACAAATTTCCAATATATACCTCCAGCTCTGGCCTCACTATCCTCTAGGATGGGACATGTGTGTCCATGTACATATTCAGCCTCTATCTCCCCTTGAATTGCTAGTAGGGATTTCAGACCCAATGTGGCCAAAGTGGAGCTCTTCCTGAATCTTCTACTTTAGAAAGCAATTTTTTCAGCTCTTCTTGAACCCCTCTTCCCAGACCAGTTTTTCCAAACTCAATAAAAAATATAGTTGCTTAAGTCAAAATCTCAGGAGAGCTTGATTTTCCCTTCCCCTTCCACTTCCCTTAAGGCCCAGGCCGTCTGCAAGTCCTTGTGAGTCTTCACCTCCAGAACACGTTCTGACCCAAAGTACCTCTGCCCATGTTGACCACAACTTGGATCACTCCCACAATCTACAAACTCTCTCTGCCTCCACCCTTGTTGCCCTAAAACCTATCCTCCTGACAGCAACCAAAATGAGATTGTGAAAACTCAAATCATATATTACTATTCCTATGCTTAAAACACTCCAGTAGCTTCCTCTCTCCCACAAAATACAATGCAGTCTTCCTTCCTTGGCTTATTCTACTCTACACGATTTGGCCTGCTACCATTGTGCCCTAATTTCCTACCATTCTGCCCTCATTCCCTGTTTTGCAGCCACACTACCGTCTCCTTTCTGTACCTTAATTAATCTAGGCTTATGCCTATCAAAGACAATAGCAAGTGCAGAATTTCTTCCAAATCTCAGCATGGCTGGAACCTCTGGATGAGTCATATCTCAGAAAAAACATCAGCTTTTCAGAAATGCTTTCTGAGGCCACCTGATCTCTCCTACACCCTGACACTCTGACACCCTAGTTCATTGTCTTAGTATTAGTCACCACATGGAGTGATCATGTTTTCTGATTGCTTTATTATTGTCTGTCTTTCCCCAGTAGACTACAAGTGCTATGAGGGCAGGAATTTTAGACTTTCTTCAGTGCCTATCCCATAGTAAGAATTAAGTGGTTGCACCATATTCCCTGAACATTGTCCCTTTTAGGAGAGTCAAAAAAGTATCTCAATTCTGGGGATGGGGGATCCTGCTAGTGATCCCACACTGATCCCTATTAGATGAATTCCTCCTTCTCAGGACAGTCAAAAGGTGAAGTTCAATTTAGATATTTTCATAACCCATTCCAGGTTAAAAGACAAAGCTAAGGGCTCAGGCATCACCCTCTAAACTTGGCAGGACAGCAGCAGAGTTGCATTTGGGCTTTTCTAGTGTCACATAACAGAAGTAAATCCATATGGATGCAGAACAGCTGCCCCTCCCCAGCAACCTCATTCAGCCTCATTTCATCCTCTTCCTGAAGCTTGCTTTGTGCTGGAACCCATGTTTTGTTCCCCCCTTTCTGCTAGCATTATCACTGGTAACTGCAAACCAGCTAGATGGCTATGACTGCTCCCTAGCTACTCTGCATCCCTGAACACATGCCTTGGAAAGCTTGACCTCAGTGAGAATCATTAAAATGGGATATGCTGAATGGAATTTAATTTGAATGTCAGGGTCCTACCTGTGGCACTTCTGACCCTTTGGAAACAGAGGATATTTTCACACTTGGGAAGAATAATTTTCAATTATTAACCACAACCCAGAAAAATTGTCATAGACCCCTCAGGATTATGCTGCGTGACATATTGATGTCAGCTTGAATATTCTGAATATGAATTTCAGTCTTCCTTGGGTCCCTCTGAAGACTGACTCCATGGAGGCACACTGCCCTTGCATGTCATACTATTCTCTCCTGTGTCTCTCTGAACTGTAATAGACCCTTGTCTGCTATTGGGAAACCTCACAATGGAGAAAGAAGAAGAATTATAGCATAAATATTTTTCTTCCAGTAATTCCGCTAACATTTACTAGTCTGGAAACAAAAATCTCAGCTCTGATATTCACAGATTTTGACCTTGGGAAATTTTCTTAATCTCTATGATTTAACCTTCTTAGCAGTAAAATACAGATAATATAACATGTATCTCATTGGTTGCTAGAGAGGAATAAATGAATTAATCTACATCATTAATGTAGGTAAGGCATTCATCCTAGTGGTGTAGGCATCCATATGGTAGCTATTGCTGCTGCTGCTGTTAATCTTGTACCCCACAGTTAAGTAGTCCCCATGGTATTTTTAGCAAGTAAACCAGAGCTTATACATCCAAATGAGCCCTGTCTACAAAGTCATACCTTTGGGTGTTTTTCATTCATTTATTGTAGGTGGTACTGCTTAAAATATTTCTGAGCCTTTCTTTGGGAACTACTATCAGAATCCATCTGTAAGTGAAGCAGTGCAAAAAAAAAAAAAAAAAAAAAAAAAAAAAAAAAGAAATTAAAAAGAAAAAAGCCTTTGCAAGGTGTCCTTTGGTTCTCACACTTGAATTTACAGAGGTACCATCCGGACCCAATGCTCTGTAACATCAGCATTGTTACTATGACTTTTTAATGAGACGAAAACGAGCATGTGGAACGTAAGCTACTTGACTAAGGTCACATAACAGAGAAATTTGGAGCTCAAATACAAGTCTAGCTAAATCCTATGTTCTTCTCTGTATCATGCTATTTCTCAAGAAATCAAACAAGTCTTATTAGATTCACTTTATGTTTCGAAAGAAACAGGTCCCCAAGTTTAGTTATTCTAAAATTAAAACATCCTCAAATAACCTGGGTGAACTGCTGTTGATATGCTTTTATTTAGAATGTTCCGTTAACTCTAACAAAATTCCAGATGATGTAGTTTTGACCATTGGTACTCGAATTGTAATAGGTGTATGGTGTTCAAGAGGACCTTATAGAATTTTGGGGAGTATGGTATTTGAAGCATTATGTGATTATATTTTACAGCCAATTGTATCTCATATTAGAAATAATACAGAAGACAGTATGGATGTTCCTCAAATAATTAAAAATAGAGTTACCAAATGATTGAGTGATTGAGTAATTTCACTACTGGGTAATTTACCTGAAGAAAACAGAAACACTAATTTGAAAATACGTATGCACTCCTATATTTATTGCAGCATTATTTTATTTTATTTTATTTTATTTTATTTTATTTTATTTTATTTTTATAATTTTTGTAATGTTTATTTTTGAGAGGGAGGGAGGAAGGGGGGCAGGACAGAGAAAGGGGGACAGAAGACACATAGCAGACTCTATGCTAATAGCAGATAGCCCGATGCAGGGCTCGAACTTGCAAACTGTGATATCGTGATCTGAGCCAAAGTCGGGCACTTAACTGATGGAGCCACCCAGGTGCCCCAATTGCAGCATTTTAAATAGCCAAGATATGGAAGCAACGCAAATGTGTCCATTTATAGTTGAATGAATAAAGATGTGGTGTGTGTGTGTGTGTGTGTGTGTGCATGTGCGTGCACACACACACACACACACACACACACCCACAGTTGAATATTACTCAACCATAAAAAAGGATGAAATCTTGCCTTTTACAACAACATGGATGACCTAGAGGGTGTAATGCTAATTTAAATAAGTGAGTCAGAGAAAGACAGATACCATATGATTTCACTAATTTGTAGAATTTAAAAAAGAAAGCAAAGAAACAAACACAAAAAATAACAGATTCTTAAATACAGAGAAAATAAGAGGGAAGCTGGGTGGTGAGGGGGATGAGTAAAATAGATAAAGGGAATTAAGAGCACATGTATCTTGATAAGTACTGAGAAATATGTGGAATTGTTGAATCATTTTATTGTACACCTAAAATTTATATAACAAAGAAAGCTGATTATACTTGAATAATAATAATTTAAAAACGAACCACTTGAGTCAGAGATAGGATAAGCAAACAAACACCCAGGACTTGAGGCTGGGTTAGTGGTCAGAATCTGAGAACAAAAGCAAAAAAAAAATCGTGTGGCCTAAAAATATTTTTGCACTACTTTTGAGTAGAGAAGAAAGTTTCATTTCTGAAATTTCTGTTGTTTTTCTACAATATTTTATATAAACAACTACTGAGTATTTAAAATTGTTTTGTTTTAAGGCGTCTTCAGTAAGCATAGGTATTGGTTTAAAATTTTTTTTTTTTTCCATCAAATACAGTTTGTTTGTCTTCAGTGCTGGAAATCAGTGCATGGCAGGAGTTTCATAGCCCTATCTCCTTCTCAATGGTCCTTCCTACCAGGAAGCGTTATTAGCTAAAGAATCTGAAAAGCCCAGCTCAGTTAGTATAAGTAATTATTATGTGCATTCTACCTAGTTGTTTGCCTAAGCCAAATCAGGTCATGTTCATCTGATTGGTTCAAGCAACTTTTAAGTGTCAGAGACAGCAGGGAGAGGGTATAACCTAGTTTTAATCAGATTAGTGTGTGTGGGGGGGGGGTTGTTTATGGGCTGGGGAGGATGCATTAAACGTCTTGATTTTGGTTGAAAAGTTTAGGAGTATAGCCTAGATCCACAAAGGGAGAGTATTTTCAACCTATATCTTTTCTTTGTTTGAAGAGGGAAGCTTTTACAGATTCTCAGAAGCATTTATTTGTAGAATAATATTCACCCT